TGGTGGCGCACGCCTTTAATCCCAGCACTCGGGAGGCAGAGCCAGGCGGATCTCTGTGAGTTCGAGGCCAGCCTGGGCTACAGAGTGAGATCCAGGACAGGGTCCAAAGCTACACAGAGAAACCCTGTCTAGAAAAACCAAAAATATAGAAAAATTAAAAAATTTAAAAAATCTATCAAGAAGTAGGCTCAGCTGGTGGAATGCCTGGCTGCCATGAATGAGGCCCTGAGCACCACACAAACAAGGTGTAATGGCATATGCTTTATCTAACACCTGAAACCAGCACTGGGGAGATGGGGGCAGGAGGATCAGAAATTCAAGGTCATAGAAAATTTGAAGCTAGCTTACGCTATGTGAGAATCTCTCTCTCTCTCTCTCTCTCTCTCTCTCTCTCTCTCTCTCTCTCTCTCTCCAACACATGAGAAGGAAAGGAATGAAGGAAGGTGGAAGAGAGGGCTGGAAGAAAACAGGCAGGAAGGCAGGCAGGCAAATATCAAGAAGTACTCCCTCCCCGACTGGGAAGGGAACCTTACAACCTGTCAACTGTAGAGCACTTGCTTAGCACATCTGAGACCCTGAACATCGCATGGCCCCACCCCTGCAAAAGCAGGGGCAAGGCTATCATAAACTGGTGCTCAGTAAGCACAGCCCTATTAAGTGACGGCTCGGGACATCCAGCTGTTACAACAGTCAGTATCCTCTACGGTTGTGAATTCAGTTAAGACGATGAAAAACTTTATCCACGATAAACTGAGTCTGCTTATCCTCAAAGGACAGTCCGATTTCCCACATCATTCATCCAGTTCAAGGAATTATGAATGCCTATTTATGTGGGTCCTCATAATGACAGACTCTCAAATTTACATTAGGATTTATCTATTCAAAACCTTCCATGCAGTCCTATAAAGATATAATTATATGAAGATCATGTTATCAGTGCTTGAGTTGGTTTATCAATAGCAGAGACAAATTTGTATTGAACAGTACACTTAACTGACCAGTTTCTTCTGATAAACATTTCCAAGACAACTGCCTGAGATTACAGATTTAAAAATGCCCATGAAACAAAATGAAAGCCACTAGTTCCCACATAAATCAAAACTAAGTCTAGCCAGATATGGTGGTGGCACACCCTTTAATCCCAGCACCGGGAGAGGCAGAGGCGAGAGGATCTCTGAGTTGAAGGCCAGCCTGAGCTACACATTGAGTTTTAGGCCATCCAAGATGATGCAGTGAAACTCTCTCTCGAAAAACAACAACCAGGCATGGTGGCACATACCTTTAACCCCAGCACTTGGGAGGCAGAGGCAAGATTTCTCTGTGAGTTGGAGACCAGCCTACTCTACAGAGCAAGTTCCAGGACAGCCAGAACTAAATAGAGAGACCCTGTTCAGAAAAAAATAAAATTAAATTAAAAAAACTAAGTTTGACTTCACTGTAGCTTTTCCCAAAAATACATAACAATGCTGATTAACTACTGTATACCACAGTGACTACAATAACATGGAATTTAAAAATTGCTAGAACAGCAGACTCTAGTAAGTGTCCAAACCACAAATCAAAAGTATGCAAGGTGGGTCAGCTCAGCGGGTAAAGGCACTTGCTGCCGAATCTACCTGAGTTTGACCCCACAGGATCCATGTGGTAGAAGGAGAGAACTGACTTACGAAAGTTGTCCTCTGACCTACACATTGGCACCATGGTACCCATTTGTGAGCGCACACGCGCGCACACACACACACACACACAAGTAAATAATAAAAACTGAAAAGTGTGAGATAGGGTATGTCAAAGTCAATTAATAGTTTGATTTAGCCATTCCACTATGTATTCATGTCAAACATCATGTTGTACCCCATAACAACAAATTTGTCAGCTAAAGACAACGAAGATTTACTTAGCAGTCTCCTTTCTTCCTTGACCCATACTTTCATTTCTTACCTCCCAGTCTTGCTTATCTCAAGCTGAATTATACCTGTCCTTCAAAAGACATTCAAGTCCACCCCCTCTGTCATAGTTCTCCAATGACACCAACGCAGCCATATCTTCCTCTCTAAAACCAAAACCACATATTCACTGTCCTCACTTGGCTGCCATGCACCACATAACCTTTCTGTGAATCACTGACTTCATAGAGACATTACAGAGCAGTTCCATTAAGAAACATGTTGCGCCGGGCGGTGGTGGCGCACGCCTTTAATCCCAGCACTCGGGAGGCAGAGCCAGGAAGGAGGATCTCTGTGAGTTCGAGGCCAGCCTGGTCTCCAAAGTGAGTTCCAGGAAAGGCGCAAAGCTACACAGAGAAACCATGTCTCGAAAAAAAAAAAAAAGAAAAGAAACATGTTGCTAGCCAGGCAGTGGTGGTGCACGCCTATAATCCCACTCAGGAGGTAGAGGCAGGCAGATTTCTGAGTTCGAGGCCATCCTGGTCTACAGACCGAGTTCCAAGACAGCCAGGGCTACACAGAGAAATCCTGTCTCAAAAAAAGAAATCGTGTTGCTGGGGTGGGGGTGAAAGGGTGTTTGCTGCTTGTAATCCAATAACAGGAGGCTCAGGCAGGAAGTTCTTGACTCAAAACTAGCCAGCGCTATCTACATCAGAGGAAGTAAACAAGTAAATACTTGAAGACAGTTCAGTGCAGACACTGCTTGCCTAGTGTGTATAAAGGCCTGCTTCAGTCCTCAAGATCACAACGCACTTTAGTTTACCTACGTAGACTGCAAAGGTTGCACAAGCATGAAAACCACTTAACTCTTCTCAGAACTTGTTCCATCCCTAAGCAATGCGTGGTGACTGCTCACTTTTCCTTGTTTGCCTTGTCTTCCTTGAGAACAAGAAACACACACACACACACACACATACACACACACACATGCTTCCACCTCACCTCAGGGTGTCCGTCCTGTCTCTACACAGAACCACACATGCTTCCACCTCACCTCAGGGCATCTGTCCTGTCTCTACACAGAACCAAACATGCTTCCACCTCACCTCAGGGAGTCTGTCCTGTCTCTACACAGACAGAACCACACATGCTTCCACCTCACCTCAGGGCGTCCGTCCTGTCTACACAGACAGAAAGAACCACACATGCTTTCTCCTCACTTCAGGGCGTCCGTCCTGTCTACACAGACAGCATTTTGTTAAACACTGATAAGCTTCAATTTACAAGTCAGGCCTGACAAGCAATAAATCAGTAAAAAGACAAACAAAGATCATCCATGCATCTAACTAAGGCTTAGGAAAAATACCTAAAAAGCTTTCAAATCATTCCTTTGAAATAAAGACTTGAGGTAATCAAAAGAAAAAGACATTTAGAGTATGTCTTCTCACTCTGAAAGGCAACTCAGTGAATGCACACTTACACATCCAAAGGCTAAAGCCGTAATGTTTTAACAAGGCATCAATCACTTTCAGTAACATGTCACCAGTGTCACACACAGTGGCTGGATTCCATACTCCTTCTCTGTAGTGAGAGTTCTAATCTGCCGGAAAAAGTAAGACATACATTCTTTCCCAAACTGAAACATGGCAGACAGCACATCGGCATACAGTGAAGACAGTCAGTGAAACCAGTCGGCATGAGATGGAGCTAATTTATGAAGCTGGAGGCGGAACAAACAGAAAAGGAAACATCTTAGCTGCCTCAACAGCACAACTTTTAAGTGAAGTCCTTATTCACTGGACTCCATTTGTGCTTCTAAAAAATAAGATAGAAACACAAACCTAGTAGGCCTACTCCTAAGAGTGCATTCAAAGCCAGGGGCAGTGATGCACACCACTAATCCCAGCCCTCGGGAGGCAGAGGCAGGCGGATCCCAGTGAGTTCGAGGCCAGCCTGGTCTGAATAGAGTTCCAGGATAGCCAGAGCTACATGGTAAGACCCTGATGCAAAAAGCATCAAACAAACAGAAAGAGTGTATTCAAGATACCATAAATATAAAATAAACTGTAACACAGCCACCCGCTTTAAGAAGGAACCTCGACACCCCCACCCCAGAAAAAGAACTATAATTGGACAAAGACAATTAGTCAAATGTATGACTAACATTCACCTGGCCAGTCTCTTCACAGTAACTACAATCCAACCCAAAGGAGCTTCTGGTTTGGGGTTGCTCGCACTGGCTAGCATGCTGCAGAAGCGTTTTCCTCTCTTTCTATTGGCTGACAGCCTGGCAGAAGCGAGTGAGAACCAATTTTATAGCAGAGGGAAGCAGTCCCCAACATTGTGTCCTGTATTTTTTTTTTCTTCTGAACAGAAAGAATGAAGGGGTGGGCTTGGAAAGCGGAGCTAAAGACACTGGCAGCGTGACATCTAAAATAAACTAAGCTGAAACAGTACGTCTTGCTTTCTTCCTAAAGCCATTTCCTTCAATAGCAACAGGGAGCGCAGCCGGTCTGCAAGTCATTAGTCCACTGCTATTTTCACTTTCACAAGTACCCGGGAACCACGGAAGAACAACATCTCCCTCTTCCCTGTTACCTTCCAAACCTCCTCTCTCCGTACTTCCAACACCACCTCCTAGGGAGTCCTCCCGGGCAATCCGCTATTTTGTCTCACCGAGGATGCGGAAGGGGGAGGATCCGGTTGAGAAGTGGTGGGGGGAAAAAAGAGAGAGGAGAGGAAGGTGAGCCGCAACCACGAAAAGAGTACGCGGGGGATAGGTCATCGCGGAAAGGAGACGAGGAAGAGTCCTGCGAGCATACTGAGCGGAGACTCGGCGGAGAATTCACCAAGGAAGACACACACACACAAAAAGATGGGGGTGGTGTTCAAGAGCGGAAGCGAAATGAGAGGCAGGTCGGACGCGCCGCGGAAATGCGGGCTGGGCAGGAGCGACCGACCCGGGCCCTGGCGCCGAGCATCTGCGGCCAGTGCCAGGGGACAGCGGGCAGCAGGCGGCGAGGACACCGGTGTCAGGGGGATCGGGGGCTGTGCAGGCAGCTGACGACCCCGCTCCCAGCCTTGGCGGCCGGTCGGGACGCACGGGGCTCTTACCGGTAGTTTGGGGCTGACCTCGCCCTTACAGAAGTGGCAGAAGAAACGGTGCGCGGCGACAGCGGAGCCCGCGTCCGCCCCGGCCGCCGAGGCCTCCGCCATGTTTCGCCGCCGCGGATGTCCGTCCGAAAGGGCGGCCGGCGGTCCCTCCCCAGGCCGCTACCTCCCGGGTCTGCGGTCGCCGCCGCCGCCGTCGCCGCCTCCTCGGTGCGGCCGGCCGCTCCTGGACCCGCAGGGGTCACGTGAGCCCGCCCGGCCCCGAGAGGCCCGCCCGCCAGCGGCCGCGCGACCCGAGGCCCGCCTCCCGGCTCCAAAGGCGGAGGAGGGGCCGCCCGCCGCCACCTCAGACAGCCCCTGGCCGGTCCTCCAGCCTGCCACCGAGAGGAAAGAAAGAGCGCCCCCCCTCCCCCCCGGGAACCACCGACACTACCGGCTAGAGCGGCCCGTCGTCTGACCCTTTTCCGCGTCCGCCTGGATGGCGCTCGCCTTTCGAGGAGGGGTGGTGGGCCGCCCCTGGGCTTAGGCTGCCGGTCTCCGGAGGATACCGTTGGGAGCTTCTAAATTAGCACTGACCCTGAGGTTAGTGGGGGAAAAAAAAAAAAACACGCCACCGGAATGTGGAGGCCCTGAGTCAGGGCCGAGAAACGAAGTCCGGAACAGGAACTTGCATGAAGGGAAAGGAGCCAAGGCGCCTTGGAAATGCTTTTCAAGGATGGCAACTGACCTAGGGATGTTTCTCCAAAGACGGGTGGATAAATGAAATAGTCTCCCCTGCGACAACTTGGCAAGAGGGACAAAGACTTAGAGGTACTAAAGCGCTGGAGAAATAGATGAATAATGGCAGGTACAGCTTGTGATAGGGAGGTAATTTGTACATCAACCACATGCATTTCTGCTTGTTTCCCATGTGTCAAGGTGTAGAAATTTAATAGGGTTCTCAAGGGAACAGAACTCCTCTTCCTAATTGAAACATCCTGTTGAGAAGCTCTTCTGTACTTCCTGGCTTCCAAATTGTGGTTTCTGGCTTGGGAATGATACTTTGTACTCCCACAGAGCCGTGAACCTTAGTTATTTGTATCTATGACAGATTGCAAGTCATTTGCATTCCCTCGTTTTTTTTTTTTTTTTTTTTTTAGAGGTCTCACACTCTGGACCAAGTTTGCTTCGTATTTATTATGTAGCCCAGGTGGGCTTTGAATTTATGACAGTCCTCCTTGCTTTAGTGGTGGGATTACAAATGTGAGTCACCACACCCAGATAAATCCAGTCTTTACAGAATATTGAAACCACATGTAATGCCGTAAAAATAAATAAGATATCATGGGAAATGGCACTTTTTTTGAGACAGGGTCTCATGTAGCCAGGCCAGCCTTGAACTCAATATGTAACCTTGAACCCCTGACCTACCTCCACCTCTCAAATGCTAGAACTACAGGCATGCACCACCATACCTGGATTTAGAAAATATATTTGATGTCTAGTTTTCCAGTCTTTTGTTTTGATGAGTGGGTGTATCACCCACCAGAGTCTCTCCGTCTAACACAGCCTGGCTTTGAACCAACACTTTGTACCCCAGGTTGGCCTGGAACTATTGATTCTTTTTGGTTTTTCGAGACAGGGTTTCTCTGTGTAGCTTTGGAGCCTATTCTGGAACTCACTCTGTAGACCAGGCTGGCCTCGAACTCAAAGAGATCCGCCTGCCTCTTCCTCCCGAGTGCTGGGATTAAAGGCGAGCGCCACCACCGCCTGGCTATTGATTCTTTTGATTCCTGAGTGCTAGAATTACAGGCAGTGTACACCATCATACCCAGCCACTGCAATTACTTCTGTTACAACACAGTACAAACAATTTTATGCTAGTTATATTGTGCAAAGTCATTTTAAATATTTGCATAATGTATGCTCATATTTGGTTATACAATAATATATTGATAGATGCTGGGCTGTTTTAGTATGTCTGTGCCAGTATTATGAAGAAAACTAATGGCATGGGTTTTTTTGTTTGTTTGTTTGTTTGCTTTTTAAATTTCCTTGGAACAGAGGATCCCAAATTAAAATATTAAAGCAAATATATGCAAGATTTTAAGATTTTTATGTGTATTGTCAAGTTGCCCTCCAGAAGAAGAAAAAATGTGAATTATATTGTTCTTTTCCAGTTCTGAGGCTCTCGGGCACAATGACTCAAGCAGAAATTAAACTGTGCTCTTTATTGCTGCAAGAGCATTTTGGTGAAATTGTAGAAAAAATTGGTGTCCACCTAATCAGAACCGGCAGCCAGCCTCTTAGAGTGATTGCCCATGACACAGGAACATCACTGGACCAGGTATGTTAGATGATACCAGTTTGCTCTCTTGAACTTCTTCATTTCCTTCAGCCACTTTTCAGCAGTGATACTCCTTCCCCTAGAAAATAGAAATAAAGAAAGCCTGCCCTGTGATCAGAATCACTGTGGGGTGGGGTGGGGTGTTGTACTTAGGCCCCAGAATACTGCTTCTCAGAGTGTTCCTAGCTCGTCTTGATTGTGTAAGTGATCTTTGTCATTCCCATACCACACTCATTTATTCACAGGAAGCCTCCTAATCTAGTACTGCCTTTAAGGAATAAAAATGATAGGAGAGGGGCTGGAGAGATGGCTCAGCAGTTAAGAGCACTGGCTGTTCTTCCAAAGGTCCTGAGTTCAATTCCCAGCAACCACATGGTGGCGTACAACCATCTGTAATGAGATCTGGTGCCCTCTTCTGGCCTGCATGCATACATGCAGGCAGAACACTGTATACATAAATAAATAAATCAATCTTAAAAAAATGATAGGAGAAACAGGTCAATTGTGGTGTGAAAGATGTCCGTCACGATCCTGGCTCAGTTGGTAGAGTGAATACATAGAATATATAGCATGTAGGATCTCCTGGTTTGCGCTCCACTACTTCATAAACCGGGGTGTGGTTGATTTATGTTTATGATCCCAGCACTTGAGAGGAGGAAGCTCAGAAATACAAGGTCAACCTCAGCTACATAACACTATAAGGCTACCTTGGGCTCCATGAGACCCTGATCCAAAACAGAAAACTAGAAGATAGAGATCAAGGATAATATGAACATCATAGCAAGGAATTCTCTTGATTTCTTCCATTGACATGTGATTCTCATTAACTACACTAACACAAAGAGGAAGTAAGATTCCATATGCAGTCAAGTCAAATTCAGTCCCTGTCCCGTCATGGCAGGAACTGGCCCAGGTGGCTGCCACAACAGATTCTGCTGCTCATGGGCTCTGGGTCCCCTGTCCTGGGACCTGGGGATAAGTTTGGCTGCAGACATTGTACTGTAGACACAGGAGTCCTTGGGGCAGACAAGAGGCAGGTCCTGTTCAGATGGGCCTGAACAGGACCTGCCTCTTGTTTCAAAGCAAATCTAATTGCTTTTTAAAAAGATTCAGGCCGGGCGGTGGTGGCCCACGCCTTTAATCCCAGCACTTGGGAGGTAGAGGCAGAGCCAGGAGGATCTCTGTGAGTTGAGGCCAGCCTGGGCTACCAAGTGAGTTCCAGGAAAGGTGCAAAGCTACACAGAGAAACCCTGTCTCGAAAAATAAAAAAAAATAAAAAAGATTCAGAAGACTCTTGGCTAGTTTTCTGACGGTTACTAAGCTGTCAGGGGTGGGCTGCGGTATTCAGCAGTAATGAGCTAAATAGCTCCAGGTCTTTCTTCTCCTTCTTTCGGGTCCTGTCTAGGTGAAGAAGGCCCTTTGTGTCCTCATCCACCATAACCTGGTGATCTACCGTGTGCATAAACGCAGTGTGGTGGAGTATGAAGCCCAGTGCAGCCGCGTACTGCGGATGCTGAGGTACCCCCGGTACATCTACACAACCAAAACGCTCTACAGTGACAGTGGAGAGCTGATTGTGGAGGAGCTCCTGTTGAACGGCAAGATGACAATGTCAGCTGTCGTGAAGAAAGTCGCGGACCGACTCACGGAGACCATGGAGGGTCAGTACTGGACCTACAGCTCTTAGCAAAGCGTAGACTGTCTGGTTCTTGGGCCACCTCACCTGCTGCTTTCCCCTGTCGTACAGATGGCAAGACCATGGACTATGCCGAGGTCTCAACTGCGTTTGTGCGACTGGCAGATACCCACTTTGTGCAGCGCTGTCCCCTGGTTCCTGCCACTGACAGTTCTGACCCTGGGCCACCACCACCTGCCCCGACCCTTGTCATTAATGAAAAGGACATGTACCTAGTTCCTAAACTGAGCTTGATAGGTAAGGAATTTTCATCCTGAAACTGTGATTTGCCCTAATTGTGGATTCTTCTTCACTGATTGTTATGTGAAGGAACTTCTGATTGTTTACCAGTTACTTGCTGTGTGCCTGCCAGTCACTGTAGTATGTAATAATAGAATACCATGATCCCTTCCCAGAAGACATCATCACACAGATATGTTATACACTATGACAAGGACTACGGAGAAGCTAGGTATGGAGGAATGGATTTATGCAGTGGGTGAAGGCTTACGTTTTTCTGAGAAAGGGGAATTTGATCTGGATCTTAATGAAGAAGTAGGACCTACCCAGTGAGGTGATAGAAGCTGGGTATTTTGAAGACTGGTGTGTAGTAAGAAAAAGAAATGGAACATCAGAGAAAGTGAAAGGTCAGTGTAGAAGCTAGGCGAGCAAGGTCCAGAGAAGCTTGAGAGAAGGCTAGAGAGTGGAGGGACTGGGTTAACAAGGCATTGTAGAGTCTGTTCTTTAACCTAAGTGCAAAGGGAGACGCGACATGACCTGACTTACACTGTAAATTGTCTAATAAAGGCTGAAAGGGTAGGGCAAGGGTAAATAGAGACAGACTAGTGAGAGGTAGATATAGAAGCCGTAAGAAGACCAGTATCAAGAGTGCCTTCTGTGTGTCTGGTTTGCACCCATGGGAGCATGATGGTGCTCACTGAGAGGAAGTGGAGGAGGAGAATTTTCTTTTTTTGGGCGGGGGTGGGGGGTGAGATTTTCCTTTTTTTTTTTTTTTTTTTTTT